AAAGCGACGTACGACCTTTATAGCTTAATTTGATTAAGCTCTTAAATATTTTTGTACGCCTTCTCTGATAAGCGATAGCCGAGCACAGCCCAACCCAACTCAAGAAGAGACAAAGCCAAGCCAAGCCAATCCAAGCAGCAAAAACATGTGATAATCATACCAAAACATTTATTTGTGCTCTAGATTCCGCTCCATTTCAACTTATGTGTGTCACAGTTTCATATGAAATTATTTTATTGCGCTCTTTATAGTCTGGGTATCTATAACTCTTTATAAGTTATGCATTGTTATCGAACTGTCAATTGTGTGAGATGTGCTCAACCTTAGAAACTGAAATCGGATGGAAACTTAAATAATGGTATCTTTTTAGATGATTTATACGAGTTTAAAGTCTATAGTTAAAGTTCTATATGCACACTTAGTTGTAGTGTTATATATACATATACATATACATACCTATACATATACATATACATATATATATATAGCCTAACTACCGAGCATTATTTACTAGTTCTCCCGACATTCCAGTTAAGTGACGTTCATATGGCCATATATGACGAGCCCATATGACGCAGATATTCCAAAATGTTAATCTTTTTATGCTGATTAATATTTCTATCAAGTGTTTCGATACTTAACACACACTTTTAAGTTCAGCTGGTTCGGCTGTAGTGTTCCGGAGTTATCTTAACATGTGACGATCTTACGTATGCCTAACGACCATAACGTAATATTTAATGCAGTTAACTGGGAAACAATTGCGTCAACAGTATTTGTTTATTTACTCGCGGCCCGTACCTATAAATACATGTAGGTATGTCAAGGTGATGTTCGATTGCCTGCCTGATAAATTGTCTTTAATGCTTATGTAGATATATGTGCTGTGCTTTTTGCATAAAAAACTGCTGTTGTGATCTCTGAGCTAAGCCAAGCTGGGGCCAAGTGGGCCATGCGCTTGAATATATATATATGTATATTTATATTTTTATATAAACCGGAAATCGTTGTCTTTGTCTCGTTCTAAGTGTGTCTCTGTGTGTTTGTGTACTATATATTGAAGAGCGTGTGGTTTATTATCTCAGTTCCGTTAAAAACAAAACAAGCGTAGAAATATAGAGTAAACAATTAGAGCAGAACTTGACAGTGACTACGTGATTTGGTTAAGCTCAAGCCACATGCATATATACATATATATATCTCTGTATAAATACAAAGGTAGATGATAGATAGATAAGTTAGGCCCTCTAATGTTTATGTTGATCTGCGATTTATGAAATTTCTCGAAAACCGGCTTCAACTGTTGCTGTTGCTCTTGCCTGAGTCGTCTCTGATGCCTGCTGATTGAATTTGAATTGCTAAATGATGCTCGGGCCAGGGCGATCAAATTGGAAATTCCTTAACTGAATTAATGATCGACTATTAAAATAGATGAAAGAGAACAGAACTTTGACGCTTCTTTAATTTGTTTTCTGTCACAAGGCTGCCGAAAACAAAAGTTTCCAAGGGCCCAAAGCTAGAGTCGACAGAAAAATAAACCAAAACTTGAATAAAGCATTTACATAAATCCAAAAATATAACCGAAAGTCACTTAAAAACAACAACTAAATATTTTTGAACAAATATATACATACGTATATAGATATATATATATATATATATAGTCAAAGAATCATTTGGAGAAATACGTTTTATGAGCGGGCCAATTAGCATAAAACGCGTCGTAAACAGTTAAATAATATTGTTTATACAAATGTGTCTATGCTGTGTGTATCTGTATCTGCATATACATATTATATATTAATATATATAAATATATATATATAGATATATAGATACATTTGTGTCTGTTTGCATTTCGTTTGAGTGCTGCCTAATGACAAATTTTTGAAGTCGCTAAAGTTGTTTTTTTTTTGTTGGTCAACACCATCAATGGCCACTTGTATGAGCAGTCATGCCCAGTCATGCTTCACTGTAGTTGTTGTTGTTGTTATTGCTATCGCTATTGTGACAACGAAATTCATGCTGAAATATTTTGTTAGCCCGAAACTTGTTTGGGCCTCTTTATTTTGTATTTTTGTTTTTTTTTTTTTTATTAAAGCGCGAATTTATTACAGCGACGCTCAGCGCCATAAATATTTTGTTTACAATTATTTAATTTATGCAGTTTTCTTGAGTCGAACGCCACGTTCAATGTGGGCTGCGGCCATTTAGCCATTTAGCCAGTTAGCTGGTTAGCTGGTTAGTTAAGCCAACAACTGCTAAAAGGCCAACGCCAACGGTTTGCTGTCAGCGCAAGTTGAGAGGAAGCCCTATTACTTGATGCCACAATGCACGGGGCACGCCCCGGCAACCAGCCACCCACTCAGCTATTCATTGATTTTTGATTTGCTTGGGTCTCGCTGAGGTCAAAGTGAGTCGATTTAAGCGCTAATGGAAAACCATAAAAATTTGCCTGCACTTCAGGATTGAAAGAAAAGTCGAACTTTTCTATAACCATTCGTTTTGTAATATTTTTTTACATTTTTTATAGCCAGCTGCGTTTAGCCACACAATTTGCCACCTGTGCAAACGAGCGGCTCATTTGAATCCACGAAACAGAAATAACTTGCAAACTATTCAAATTTCAAAACTAACTGTGCTGTCGGCAAAAAACGATGTGCTAGAATCGAAAATCTAGTGTTACCGGGCCAGAATGGGAATGTATTTGATTTCAACATAAAACGACGTTTGCAACGAAAGCTTCGCACATAAACACTGCCTGAGCTGTATTCATGTTCTTGTTTTCCCTTTTACTGCCAATCTAAACTATTGAGCTCAAATATTTTATCTTATCATAAATAAATAGTTTCATTCAGTTAAAGATCTGTTTTTTCAAGTGTGCCGATTGTAGGCATCAAATCAAATAAAACACGAGTTTAGCTGGCAACTGAGCTATCTCTAGCTATATCACTCAACCATATTGTTTGGGTCCGTACGTGATATTGATGTCTCAGTCGGACGATCGTTATGTTTATTTACACAGTTTAGCTCGCATGCAAATAAACAGTGCTCGATCGTAACTGAAGCAGATATCAGCTGCGTATAACGTGGAAAAGCCAATGAAAACAAATACAAAAGCTCGTCCATTTAAAATTATGAAACCCACAATTCCCCCCGTTTTTCCTACTCTGTTCTCCAGTCTTCCTCTGCCGGCTGTTGACATGTTCTGTCGCTCGCCAGATAGTTTTGTGTGTCAGTTGCTAACTTGGACTCTGTTCCGAGATTGGGACATGTCTTTGGATACCTTTTTGTCTGTGCTGATGTTTATTTATTTACGGCTGCACTTTTTGCTGATATAACCCCATCCCGTTTCGCTCGCTCACCCGTTGACCGCTTTTTTATTGTGTCCAATCTGAACGTTTTTATATGACACATTTTGCATGCACTTTGTCCCGGTGCACAAAAGAAAACACAAACTCAAATCAATCCGAAGTGAAACACATGCAATTTGAATGATCGCTTATCGCCAAAAGCCTAAAGCAAATCGGCATTTCGTTTGCGACCCTGACCAAGTGCACGTCGTCGCCCTGACGACGTCACAACTAGCTTATAATGATCAGCTGATAATAAAAGAGGTATAAAAACAGGCTGCTGGAATGTGCTGAGTCATTAGAGCAATTTGAATAAACATATATCAGGGCCAAACATCAACGCATACTTGGCTAACTGCTGAAAACTTTATTTCCTACTAAAAACTTAAGAATGTTGGGGCATGATCAGGCGATCGATATATAATCTGCTGCTTGCTCAGCAAACTATTTTAGCTACACTCAGAGAAAAGGCGATATGCTTAACATTATTTAGTTAAGAATTTGAATACTAATTGAATAGCTAAGATACATTTGCCAACTCATAGATACTTTTGGTTATAGCTCATATCTGTGCACTGAGCTGCAGCCACTGCGCCAACAAGTTTTGTTCTTGGAAAATTCATACTGAATGCGCAACTGTCCGACAGTTGAGCCACACTCTCTCTCTTTATATACATTTATATTCATATATATATATATATTTATATATATCTGGCGCACATTTTATTATCGCGTCAGGCCGCCTTTTGCGCGCTGCTCTTTTAATGGCCGCGCGAATTCCACAGCAATGATTAATTAACAAATCATATAAATATGCCAGCCCTAAAGAAAGCAACAAATATATTTTTCAATTAAAGCACATTATCAAAGTATATACAAAGAGTGCGTGTGTGTGTACCTATTGGAGCAATTAATTTATGAAGATTAGTAATTATCATTGGAATGTGAAAATGTTGTTGTCTGCGCTGATATTGAAATTGAATTTCGCAAACAAACAGCTCAACAAAAATAAGAAATAAAGACAACAACAAACAACGACAACAACAACAACAACACTAACAGTAACAACGACAACAGACAACGTCATCGTCATTAGCTATTTTGCCGCAGCGGGAAAATTGCGACCTCGATAAGATTAAACATATGGCAAATACCATCTGGGGGTACCAGGGGGCATTGGGGCATTTTATATGGCAACAACAAACGCTGCAGGAGAGTAGACATACCATTAGGCAAGTGCTAATGCTGCATGGTAAATATTTGTAGTCTAAGAAATATGTGTATGTATTCGTGTGTTTTTTTGCCCACTTTTACCGAAACACACGGCAAAAAAAAAATAAATAAAAAATAAAAATGCACACAGGAAATACCAGACAAAAAGTTGTCGCTAATCTTATCGAATGGGCCCAGAGAAACGTTTCCAATTAGCTGGCGTGGGAACAGTTGGCCACAGACGGTAAACAGGTTACGATACATCTTAGATAGGGCCAGCAAATACAATACTAACCGAAATCTTCTCTACGGAAATTCATTAGCGATTTGTTGTCTCTATGCAAACAAGCTGATAAGCTAAATATTCTCGGCCAAACGAGTTACACATGGCTAACCTGGATCTGACCAATTTCGTCTATCTTTTTGTTTTTGCAGCTACACAAAACCGCAATCGTTCGAGGACTGTGTGGGCGATGAGCTGCCCGTGGGCTGGGAGGAGGCGTACGACTCGAATATTGGACGCTACTATATCAACCACATTGCGCAGAGCACACAGCTGGAGGATCCACGGCAGGAGTGGAAGAGCGTCCAAGAGCAAATGCTCAGCGACTATTTGTCTGCGGCGCAGGATCAGCTGGAGAACAAACGCGAGATGTACGATGTGAAGCAACAGCGTCTGAATCTTGCCCAAGAGGAATACAATCACCTCAACAAGCTGGCGGCCAGTCGCAGCAGCTGTAAGTATACCCAAAACATGGCCTGGCCCAAACGATTACACCTTTTTCATAATTACTGTGGCTGTCGAACAACAGCGATAAGAGATTTCACAGTAATTGCCCAATAGATAAGCACATTCTTGTCAGCTTATAAGCAAATATTTTTTGGCCATGCCTCTAGATATGACAGCTAAATTAGAAAAAAAATACTTTAAGCCTAATCGTAAATATTGGCCATATAAATTAAATACTTAAGTAAATGGATCCAATATCTGTTGAAACTTCTGCTATCACGCATTAGTTTGGCTGCTGCAAGATCAGGCTCAGCTTATTGATTTACTTTGCCTTTACTTAATTGATTAGCTCTTAAGAGAACTTAGCTATACTTTAAATAAGCGACCCATTTCTTCTCTACAAGGGATTTAGCATTAACGAAATTTCTTAACTAATTCTCTTTGTCTCACTCTTGCTCTCTCGTAGTATGCTCGTCGTCTAGCTCTATGAGCCGACACGATCCAGAGCTGCTGCGCGCCGATCTGATGCTGGCGCGTGAGCGTGTGCGTCAACTTAAACAGGAGCTGAATCACATTACCAATGATATATCCTACACAGAGCGCGGCATGAACACGCTCTACTCCGTGGGCGAGAAGATCAATGCGCGCCAGAACGGCTGCTACGATATTGCCGAGGTGCAGGCGATACGCGAGGAAATGCTTAAGGTGCACAAGTCACTCGTCTCCGGCGAGAAGGTGCGCGAGGAGCTGATGCGCAGTCTGGTGCAGATCAAGAACGAGCTGAGTCGCCAGCAAATCAACGAGGAGAACGCTGAGCTGCTCAGTGCCGCCTCACCTTTCGATCGCGTATGCGTGGCCAGCCAGACAGATCTGTGTGGTGCCGGCGAGCATTTGAATGGTGGAGCACGCTTTGCTGAGATGGCCAAGACGAAGCTGCAGTACGCGGAATGGAGGAAGCACATAAAGAAGCTGCAACAGCAGCTAGCCGATCATGTAGAGCGCATTGAGCCTGGCCAGCTGGAGTCCGACAAGGATCGCATATTGCTGATACAGGAGAAAGAGAAGCTGCTCAATGATCTGAACAGCATATCCCTGAAATCGCGCAGTGCAGAGGAGAAACTGGTCATACAACAGACGCGCCACAAGCTCGAGGAGGATCTAAAGGAGGCGTACGAGGCGACCAACACATGCGTTGCGAACCGCCTGCGCTTCCACGAGGAGAAACAGCTGCTGCTGGCAAAACTGCAGGAGGCGCTCAAGTCCACAAATCTGCTCGAGGAGCGCCTCAAATCATTTTCCTCGGAGAGCACATTCTCCATTAGCAGCGGCAGCAGCCTAGGCTCCCTCTCCACAGCCAGCAGCAAGAGTGCGCTCAGCTTTACGGACATTTACATAGATCCATTTGCCGTTGGTGAATCGCCCATTGATGTGGTGGATCTGCAGCGACGCTCGCAGCGACTATTCCAGCAGCACCAGCGCTTGCCACCCGTGCACCCAGCCGTGCAGCTGCAGCAACAGCATCAGCTTCAGCAACAGACGCAGCCACAGCCGCAGCCAGCCTCAGAGGTCTCGCTGTCGCCGCGCAGCAGCCTTTCCATAGAAACGCCACCCGCCTCACCTTTGAAGTACAATGCGATTGCCGATCAGCCGCAGACGCAGGCAACGCTGAAAGAGGAACCCACCTACGCCAATGCGATGCCTGCGCCACCCGCCTACACAGCTCCACCTACTGTGCCCATGGCATTGGCTGGTGTACGCACCCATCCCTACGATCTGGACTCCACAGTGCTGGACTGCATGATGCTGGAGGCGAAGCTGCAGAAACTCAACCTTTCCTCGCCGCTCAATCTAAATGGACCGCTGTCCCCCATCTCGGAAAAGCCCTCGCTGCTGGATCTGCCCCAAGAGATGCTCAGTCGGTCCTCCTCCACCTCGAATACGCGCTCCGTTTCGGCAGCCGTAAGCAACGAATCTGTGGCCGGTGATTCCGGCGTCTTTGAAGCATCCCGTGCGCATCTGCCGCGCAAGGAACTGGCCCAGGTCCAGATTGGCCTTAAGTATCTGAAGCAGGAAGGCGTGCTCGTTGTCTCCCTGGAGCGTGCCAACAATCTGTCAGCCCTGTGGACGGCGACCACGGACAACTCGCAAGTGTAAGTGCAAAGCGTATGCTTGACTCATGACGCAGTTGCTCATTTCGCTTTTCCCATTGCAGGTATTTGCGCGCCGCTCTGCTGCCGAATTCGCTAACATCCATACGCACCAAGGCGCTGGGTGACTTCCAGAAGCCCGTCTTCAATGACACATTCGCAGTGCCCATCTCGCTGGACAAGTTACTGACCAAGAGCCTACAGGTGACCGTGGTCAGCATGACGGGACAAAAGGAGGAGATTATTGTAAGTCCCATAGACGCTAACTTTTAAATAAATAAACCCTAATCCTTGGAAACACTTGATTCGCATAGGGCACGCTGCAGATCAGCATGGCTGAGTTTAATCCCGATGATTCCACGCTGAAGTGGTACAACGTGCTTAGTTCCAAATTTATACCGACATTTGAGTCTCTGGACTTACCCTCCACAAGCGCCGCGGCAGCAGCTGCCGCCGTTGCAGCAAGCAACAACATCATCAACAACAACACAAGGGAGGAATCCTCGGATGAGTCGACAATAACTTCATCACAAACCTCAACGTTGACGCGCAATCAGGCGCCGCCATTGGAGCTGCAATCTCAAATAGCCGAAGAGCTGCCCGAGCACGTGCGTCTCAATGAGCAGCAGTGCAGCGACGATGATGACGATGATGAAGACGAGGAAGATGAGCAGCAGCTCGTCGGCACTCTCGGTCTGACGCACTGTAAGTCTAAATCCGTTTGAGCTTTGTTCTCTTAACTAATTCGCATTTTAAATCCCTTCAACAGCCGGGTGCATGCTGGATGCTTACCTGGAGAACATGAAACAGGAGTATGCCGATAAGGAGACCAACACAGATTGCGCCTTTCCACCGGAGAAGCTGCGCAACCAGACGCAGCTGCTTGACGACAGGCCTGTGAAACGCTCGCAAACATTTACGCCGTCGGCGGCAGTCAGCAAGAATCGTTATAACTGCCGGCTCAATCGCAGTGACTCCGACTCGGCCATGCACTTCGGTGTCACGCCGCACACCTTCCATCGCGGCGCTGTGGAGCGGCGTTCGCTGCGCTTCCAGCCAAAGGCGACCAAGTCCGTCACAAGTGAGTCCATCTGCAGATCCTGCTTTCAATTCGAATATAACTAAATCATATTTGTTGTCCCTTAGAACTGCATCATACTCACATACCACGCACCAGCTTGGACTTGGAGCTGGACCTGCAAGCACAGCACAGCAAGCTATACTTTCTCAACGATCAAATCTCCAAGTTGCAGAACCTCAAGGAAGTGTAAGTATACTGAAGTAATTAATCTATATCCCCATCGAGTGCTCATTATTTTGCAATTGCCTTATAGACTTCAGAAGGCCTGCGATAACAAGGACCCGTTGATTGCGGCCTGGGCCATTGAGAATGAAGAATTCCAGCGTTTAGTGGCACGCGCCGACCCCACCAAGTGCCCCGAGGAGCGTTTACTGCAGAAGCTGCTCATGAAGACCACCAAAGAAATACACAAGCTACGCAAGACCAAGGTGCCCAAAGGCTGCCCAGATTTGGTCTCCTTCAAGTAAGTTTTCAATATGCAGCTGCCAAGAGGGCTTCTAGTTGCTAACAGTCGCCGTTGTACTTTGCAGAGAGAAAATGTTCTTCTTCACACGCAAGGGTATGTCTGTGCCTGAGCTACCCATTGATTTTTTGCTGCCCGATGCGCAAGCCATTGAGGAGGAGGAAGAGGACGACGACGATGATGAGGAGGATAATGTGGCTGAAACAGCCATTGCCATCAATACGGCTCTGGTGGCCAGCAGCAATAGAAATAAGAATCTCAGTGAGCATCACCATCGATCAACAGGCGGCGCAGTGTCTAAGCTGACTGCCACGCCCACTTCAGCCATTAACCCAGCCCCTGTTACAACACCCGTCCCAGCATCGTCCAATGCCAACGAGGCCAAGGGCGAGCAGCAGCGCTACGACTACGTCGTCGACCGCAACTACGGCGTCGAGGTGTAGTTCCCACAAAGAGATTGGGAGACTGGGATCCCTTCCCACCTGAGCTGTATATTTTTGTAATTATTTTTGGTATTTATTTGCATTAAGCGAAAAGTATTTATGTGTATAGAAGAGAAACTAGATGAAACTGATGTAACAAATATCTGTGCCTTATAGAGAAAGAGTTGGAGCAGACCAACAACAAAAACCATACCAACAACAACAGCAACAAGAAACATGCAAGAAATGATATAATTATTTGTAACTGCATAGAACTAACTAGCCTTAAATGATATATATCTATATATATATATATATAGTAGTATTAGTGTAGACCCATAGTCAGTTTGTACTAATTGACCCCCTCCACCCACATCCCCACAAAAACTGACCCTGTATGAAAAGAGCAAAGCAAATGTCTTATATACCTATGTCCCGCCCCGCAACGCACCGCTCCGCCCGCCCCACTAAAAGCGCGCACATTGCGCGCTATGAAACCTATCAAATTCATATTGAAAACCAACTGTATTCTTAAGACTTGAGCAAATTATACGAATGAAGAGGAATATTTTTATATACATATACATAATATAAATAGTACATATAGAGACTATTGATACATTTTAAATTAGTTTAGTGCAAACACCAACAAACATACAACTAAAAAAAAAGAAATGAAAATATTTATTATATACATACATATAGAAATGGATGAGTGCATATTACTCCAATCTGTTAGTTTAATTAGCTTGCGTTTTTGTTAAGCTCAAAACGAATTCTACTATTTTTTTTTATAAAAAAACCTATGAAAAAAAACCAATACACAAACACAAAAAAGTCCATGTACCATATTAGTTAAACGCTATATGCCACACAGAGGTATATAGCATAGCTAAGAACGCGCCCTAACAAAAGAAATGAAATATTTTATTAAGCAAGCCTGTTAACATTGTTAAACTATTGCCCTGGAGCTATGAATTTGATGAGAAAATCAAAACAAAACAAAAAAAAAATGAAGAACTAAACTATTAAGTTATATGTAATTTTAGTTTAATTTTAGTTTCTGCTTTCTCAGCTCTTTGTAAGCATCGCTGTTGTTTTGTTAAAACTAACCGCAACCCGACCCCGCCCCTTTCCTCGTCCTTCAAACTCAGTAATAGAAATAACGGAAAGAGAGCCCCACATATTTTTTTATATATATACGTTAGTAATTTAGCTATAATAAATTATATGAATGAGAACATGTATATTGTAATTGTGCAATAAACAAAAAAAATTCTACTGACATAATTGAAAATAATAAGCTTTATTAATTTTGTTCATATGGAAAATTGCTCGGTCAAGATGTTTTGTTCCAAGATATCTGAGATATGCCAAGAAATACCCCCACGTCTTAAAATGCTATAATTGTCGAATACAATTTGTCATGCTTTAATTTAGCTGCCGGAAAGTATGCTACACTTTATATTGCTCGTAAGCGCCATCTGGTGCAAAATTCAGTAGTATGGCAACTTAGGAAAGATGTAGCCTAGAAGTACTCAGCACTTAGAACTAACTATAAAAGAAATATTTTGAGATTCAATATAAGTAAATGTGTGTACATATAAGGTTTTTTTTATAAGTTTTTTAGTTTTGATATCCTTGTTTCCATTAAATTTGCTCGATACAAACTATGCAAAATATAACTTCTTCTACATGCCTGAAAGTATGCAATAAATAATAATGAAGCTGTCGTTGATTATTAGACAGCGCCATCTGGTAACCAAATAAAATACTACAATAGATGCAGCCTAAAAGTATGCAGAAGTTAATCTTTTTATTATGATTTTACGTCACGTTTAGCAAATCCAAATGTCAACTTCGAACCTTGAATGTTGGCTTCTTGCTTGGCTCAGTAAAATATATGTAAATCAATAATTTAATATAATAATTTATTTCTTAATAATTGTAACAACTGCTCGACATTCATGTCAAATTGGTTGATAATTTAGAATTTGAATTTATCAATGGAACTTAATAGAAGGAATCCGTGCGGAATTGAGTTGTAAATTTCATGAATCCGACAACAATTAACTGAGTTACAATCTTAAAGTTAGGATATTCGGTTTATATTTATGTTTGTTGTACTTTATCATAAACTTTATTCACATAAAAATAAATAATTATTACATTTCGATATTTAAATTTTAACCAAGCAGCGCTGTAAATTACCGCGTCTGCCAGGGCACATCCTGTTCAGGGTCTCCTGCTGCGGCGATAGTCCTTGTTTGTGTTGTCATTATCATAATGCTTAGTTTTAGTGTGCGTATTTACAAATATGTTGCAAGAAGAAGAGCTTAATTAACGGGTAAATGTGAAACGGTAGACCTCCGGCTAAGGATTGGATGGGATTCGTGATAATTTTTATGGATGTGCAATTTGGTGGAACGGTGTTGGTTCACAGTAGACGGAGTTGGTGCTTGGTGGTGTTGGTGGTGCTGGTGATATTGGTGGTGCTCAAAAGGCGCCATTGTAGTGCAGGTTTTGTGATGCAAATTGCGGTATGCCATGGTTGAGAGCTAAAACTTTACTAATTACTTTCAGTTCTTCGAAATTTCTTAAGCTATTTAAAGGACTTAAGTAATTGTTAGGCCTAATTAGTCTAGAATTGGTATTACCTGAGCTCACGCTGGACGTGCCTGCTGCTCCTGCTTCAGCTGCGGTTGCTGTCGCTGACTTGGATTGCTGCTGCAACAGCTGCTGCTGGAGGTATTGCTGCGCGTTCTGCTGCAACTGGTTGCTCAGCTGCGGCGTCAAGTGTTGCCGATAGAAATTTTGATTATCCAAATCGTTATGCTGGCTCACAATGGTGGTCGCAAAGGAGTTGCTTGGCTGGATTTCCACATTTTCATTATTCAAACCAAAGTTTCCAGTGCCTGTTTCCTGGCGAAAGAGACGTGCGCGATGCTGCTGCTGTTGTTGCTGCTGTTGCTGCTGTTGCTGCTGCTGCTGATAGAGCGCATTGCTTACGTAGCTAGGCAGTAGCAATGGTTGCAGCTGTAGCTGCTGCTGCTGCTGTTGCTGCTGTTGCTGCTGCTGCTGAAACTGTTGGTAATTATTCTGAGGCGGGGCTTGCAAGATAGACGCCTCCGCAGGCGCAAAGTTGAACTGATTTGAGGTTTGTAGCTGTAAATGATTGTTGTTATTGTTGTTGTTGCTGCTGCTGCCGGCAATGCTATTGGCACTTTGGCTATTGCTGACAGCATGTTCCGCTTTTTTTTGCAAATTTTGGAAAATTTGTTGCACTGCATTCGTTGCCGTTGGCAATTTCTGATAGTTGTTGTTGTTGTTGTTGTTGCTACTGCTGCTGTGCAGGGCAAATTTATGAGCCGCAACGGCATCGCGCAGCGGCAATTGCTGCTCAATTGGATATGTGGGATAGATAATGGTCTTCGTATGTGTGCTGGGTATAAATTCGACTGAAGGTCTGATGGAGTAACCAGGCGAAGGTGGCTGCAGCGTTTGTATTGCCTCCAGTGATGCATGTTGCTGCTGTAACTGTAACTGTTGTTGTTGTTGCTGCTGTTGCTGTTGCTGCAGCTGTTGCTGTTGCTGCAGCTGTTGCTGTTGCTGCAGCTGTTGCTGTTGCTGCTGCTGTAGCAGTGGCTGCAGTGTACTCGATTGCGCAAGCGGCGTAGCTTGATAACGACTTTGGCTCTGCTCCTCGAGCAGCTTCAATTGCCGCAAGATCAACGCCTGCTGCTGCTGTGCCTGCAGCTTCAGCTGATAGATTTGCTGCTCGAGAGCGCGCTGTCGCTCAATAATGTAGTTGTTGACGCTGGGCGGAACGGGTGCCGTGACACTAGAGCTGGCCAGTGGCTCCTAAGTGGGAATAACAAGACGTCATTAGCGTAATGTCACCTGGTCAATTGCGAGCTTACCTTAAGGTAGTTGTTGTTCGTGGTGCTGCTGCTGCTGCTGAGAAAGGCTGGCGTTGTGGAGAAGCCAACGTGCTGAAGATTCGTCTGCGTGGTGCTCGTGCTGCTGATGATCGTGGGACTCTGTGTTGTCAGCGGTGCTGCTGGCAGCTCCGATTCCAACACATTCAACTTGGTGATGGTGGGTCCAATATGTGGCAGCTGCAGCTGTTGCAACTGTTGCTGTTGCTGCAGACTGTGCTGCTGATGCTGTGGCAACCTGTGCTCGCCCTGCAGCAGCGGGCGAAACTTTTGCGCCGTGCCTCGCTCATCCAAATCCACGGTGAAGGCTGTGACCAGTGGCGCCTCCTGTATGCGTATGTCCTGCTTGTCCACCAGTTCGATGTTCTCGCCGTCCTCGTTGTGTGTGGGCCGCGGCGTTGTTGTTGTTGTGGTGGTTGTGGTGCTTGTCGTGCGACGTCTGGTGGTACGTGGTCGCGGCGTTGTTGTCGTCGTGGTCGTCGTCGTCGCTGCTGTTGTCGTTGTTGTTGTCGTCTCCTTTTTCACGTTGCGTATCTCAAACTTGATCTCGTTGCTGCCATCGTGCGCTATCTCATTGCTGCCCAGCGAGCTGTCCACACTGCGCGTTAGCTGATGCGAGTCGGGACCTAAATCCGCCTCGATGGAAAGTGGAGAGGCTGCAGCGCCCGGCGTTGTCTTCTTCCACAGCTTAGAGCGATCGATAAAGGAGGAGAGCAACTGCTCCTGGGCATTGCGTTCGTCAAAGGTTGCCGTGTAGAACTGCACGGTGGGCACCACAGCATCCGTGGAGCTGGTGCTCTCCTCCAGTATCTCTTCGCGCTCACGTGGAGCGGCCAGTGTGGAGCTAGGCGCCACTATCTCAGCTGTGGTTGATGTCGACACCGACGCCTCCTCGCGCTCCAGCTTGTCTATGGCACGCAATAGCGCCTGTCGCACCGAATAGTCCAGCTTCTGTATGGCCTCTCGTGGTATAATCTCGTTGCTCTCCGTGCTGACATTCTCTGCCCCCGTTGCTGGCTCATCCTCCACTGGAACGCCGCTAGCGGCTGCCAACTGGAGCGTGAGTGCGGCAAGCAGCAGCACCAGCAGCAACGCCCAGGGCAGCGTGTTGAAATGTCTCTGCGGATGGGACAAGAGGCAGAGTGAGGTTAACTCAAGCAATTATGCTAATTAGCTGTAGGGCTGTGTAATGGAAGAAGGCATTCGCTTGATGGCTCAATAAGCTTGGCCGGGCAACCTACCATCCCATGTCATCTTCTGCTAGAGTGCGCAGTTCAAGCCTCATTTCAGTTAATATCAATAAGTGCAGCCTTGCAGGCGCGCTAAATAATCTTGGCATATTTAAGATCATCAAAAAGAAGCTTAACTCGCCAGCATAATTGTGCCCTTGTGAAACTTACTAAATTAAACATTTGACAAACTTCAAAACTGGAAGCATTTAAGGTGCATAATAGCTACCTGCTCAGGTTGACATATTTCTTTAGAGTTATGACTACGCAGACACCCTAGATCTTGTGACTGGTCAACACAAAAATCTGTGGGACTCTAAGCGGCTGTATCTTATGAAAAACTGACTTTAGTTGCTCGATCTTTCGGTAAGAATTTCTGGTAAATTTCTGACTTATAAAACATTTAACTTCTTTTTTGAATAATCATGAACATTAAGCAAATTGCAATATTAGCCCCTATTGGCCAACTTCGATCAAATTTTAAGCTATGATTTGTTGAACTACCAGAATTAATGATAATTGACTGAAGTAAACTCACCAAGAAAATATCTTCTTACTGAGAAGATACAATAGCTTGCCGTTGTTATTAAATTTTATGGGAGTTTATTATTTATTATTTTTATTCTCATAGAGTTTCACAAGTTGTGCTCTTATAATATTTAAAGGCTGTAGCAAAAGCCTTATAACAATAGTTCTTTAAATGATATATCCCACGAGACGACCTTAGTCAGTCGAAGCACACAGCTCAATGCTGGACTCATGCAATATTGTATTGTGTCTCTCAACCTCTGTCAGTGTTTTCCAAATTCAAAAGTCCTTTAATAATTTCATAAGCCAACAACTTGGGCATTTATTAGATTATTTCAATTTCAAAATCTTTGCAGTTTCGGCAACATTTTCATAGCTGAGCCCGAAAGCTTAGCTGCAATCATGAGTGAGTACAACCGGGCGATGGTGCGCTAATCTGTGCATGTTCATCTTTCCGGCATTTGCAAAGACGGCAGATCATAACGCATTATAGCACGTAACCTGCCGCAGAGATTGTCGAGTCAGAGGTGGTGGGGCGTGAGGTCTGTGGCATGTTGAATGTGGCGTTGCGTTGCGTTGCTTTTGCACAATTTGCGATTTTCAACAGCTTGACGATTGATTTCTGGCCCTGGCTTTTGACTGTGGCTCGGAAACGTTTTCTGGCAAATTGCCTTGCAACGCTTGTTTGGACGCTGCTGAAAGTTAAGACTAATTGTTGCATCAACAAGTGGTGCGCAAATCCCCTACAGTCCGCCGCCAAAGCAAACCTATCTGACCACCTGTCGCTCTCTAAGTGGATCTGGTCTGTGTTTCGGCCTGGCTTTTTGGAGTTCAGCATTTTGGCAGTCACGTTTCTGCCACTTGGCACCGGCTAGTTGCCTAGCTGTGTTTCTTTCTCCCATTTTTAGCCAACATTTTACAATTGTTGCTCGATGCGGCTTGCGCATTGATTTCGCTTCGTTTTGGGCTGCACTCAAATTATTTAATCAGCAATGCGGAGCTAAACTCAAAAATGCTCGAATTTGCCAAATTACTAAACTGGAACTAAGTCCAAAAACTATGCTAATTGAAGACAGCCATAGAAATGCTGAATTGCATGAGGTATGCAGTTGGGGCATATACGGAATACCTTACCGGAATACTCAAGTACTGCAGATGGATAGTAGCTGGGCGAATCATACGTACGTACTTAAGAGATGGGATCTACTCTCTTTGCAACTGTTTGAGTTATGCTAGGACCAGGACCTAGACTTCGATGACTTCTTGCATCCTTGCTTATCTATCAACAACATGGCCTATATCCTTTCTCTTTTTTAATCAACCATTGACTTTAACTCTTTAACTTTGTATCTTTACTTTATTATCTCTGTATGTCCCACTCTTTCTCGCTCAGCCTCTGTAAGTCTCCGCAGTACAAGACCAAATTAAACTTATTAACTCTCTCTCTATCTCTCTCTTTCTCTCTCTCTCTCTCTCTCTCTCAATCTGTCTACTTTTATTCATGTATCTTTTATATCTTTCCATCACAACTCTCTCTATATTCCTCTTTCCCAATTAATCTATGTAATTTCTCTTTCCCTCACATACTCTATTTTCTGTCTCTCCTTCATTACCTCACTCTAACTCATACCCACACTCTCTCTCATTCTATAATCTCTTCTATAATCTCTCAAGTATTCATAATATAAGACAAAGTAAAGCCAATTGAGCTCTCTCTCTCAATATTTTTCATTATCTCTCCTTTTTTCGTAATCTATCTGTGACATTATCTCTCTCTTTCTCTCTCTCTCTCTCTCTCTCTCTCTCTCTCTCTCTCTCTCTCTCTCTCTCTCAATCTGTCTACTTTTATTCATGTATCTTTTATATCTTTCCATCACAACTCTCTCTATATTCCTCTTTCCCAATTAATCTATGTAATTTCTCTTTCCCTCACATACTCTATTTTCTGTCTCTCCTTCATTACCTCACTCTAACTCTTACTCACACTCTCCCTCATTCTATAATCTCTTCTATAATCTCCCAAGTATTCATAATATAAGACAAAGTAAAGCCAATTGAGGTCTCTCTCTCAATATTTTTCATTATCTCTCCTTTTTTCGTAATCTATCTGTGACATTATCTCTCTCTCTCTCTCTCTCTCTCTCTCTCTCTCTCTCACTCTCTCTCTCTCTCTGTCTTTTATACGCTACTTTTGTCATTCTCTTTTTCACTCCATATCTTTCCTTCTCTCTCCCACTCTCTTATAGTTTCTCAAGTATCCACAATACAAAAGCAACTCAAACCAATTTAAATATCAAAAATTCAAACATTAATATGAAAATACTTAAGTAAATATGAATACTAATTAATCTTTTCTTAATTGAGCAGCTCGACAGCAAGTTATAGTTAGATGAATTAATGATGTTGGATCTGATTTAATGGGATGCAACTTTCTATGGCTTTTGTTTCGTGTTGGCCTCTCGGGATAGCCGATTCGACACTCATTTGGGGAGTCAATCAAATTTCTAAGTGACGCAGCAATTTTCACACAAAAGCGTTGCAATAATCATAATAATTTTTCCGAATTCAGCTGAAAAGATTTTGTGTTTTCCATGGTGCTGTCCAGACGCAAGGTTAAGGGTCAAGTTCTGCTAAAGGCCAAGAGTCAGGAGAAATGCAGTTTGACGAGACACAAGCAACTGCAACAACTGATGGGAAATATTTTGCAATTGAACAAATATTTTATGCTGTTTTCTGTTGTTGTTTTTTTTTTGTTTGCTGCACTGCCACAAAATTTATTGCTAGATTTGTTTCTTCTTTTTTTTTTTGTAATTTCTTTTATGGTTTTTTCTTCATTTATTTTTTGGCTAAATAAAAAGGCACAAAATCAATAGCGCTGCTGTCCGCCTTGCTGCTCATTTACGTCAATTTCACTATGGAAATTATTCGCGTCCGACTTGACGGGCGGTTCGTCAAGTCTTCAGCTCGTCAAAGCGTCGCGCCGCCTGCTTTGCGGTCGTCTTTCGCGCTAATCAAGTTGGCCAGCCTTATACGTACATATATATATGCATGTATACATGCCTTCGCAAATGGTAATCATCATAAATTGTAATGCCCAGGCCAAGGCACTGGGAAATCTAACGGCTATATTACGACTCGAGACATAGCCAGCAAAAGCTAAAGCTGAGTTAAGCTCAATGTACAAAAAATATAATTTTTTCTGTTTGATTTTTTTCTTTCTGGTATTTTTATTTAGTTTTTCAACATGGAAATAAGAAAACACAGCTAAAACGCTTCGCGGAAGCACAATATTTACAAAATTTGTACGATCTAATGTTTCCTCTTTATTTAAGCAAATCATCATCAGTTTTTCGAGCGCCGAATGAGTTTACTTATTTAAAAAACTAAATTAGTCCGAATATGGGTTGTGCTAGTCATATCGTAGCGTATTTTGTGATATTTATGATACCTGCTCGAATTTCCCATACTTTCCCCACTGCTAATAGCAGAGTAGGCACAGATCTGCGCTTTATCTTAAACGCTGAGGTATGCAACAGGTAAGTGCGAATCGCGTGCAGCTCGAACATCAAATGAATGCAGAAAATGCTTTATAAATATTTTTTAATTACGCCCCATCTACGGGCGACGAGAGGCATAGTGTAAAAATGATTTAACAATCAAGCCAGGCATTGTATATATTATATTAGCCATACATCAATGCACAAAAGCCAAGCTGTCTATATTTATTGCTCATTTTATTGTTTGAAGCGTGGGCAAAAATTGTTTTTTACTTAATTTTTATTTTCTTGTTTATTATTTGCCACGAGAGAAGCCAACGGCCAACACACTTATATAACCATCTTGTGGGCCAAATTGAAGCTTCACTTTCGTCGGCTCTGCGCGCGTGTAAAACTGGCAGATCGCAGAGACTGCAAGAGCTGAACACCTGAAGGCTTGAAGACTGGGTAACCCAGTTCCATTGATAAATGGCAACTCATATAAGTCGCATTGTCCAGTAATTCAAGCTGGCAGCGGGGCATCTCAAGTCTCGCGCTGTGATTAATTTTACGCCCGCTGACCAAGTCGCATTTTGCATTTTCATTTTGCATTTTTTTCATATTTAACAGCATTTTTTTAACGGCTGCATTTTGCATTCTTCGCGTTGCATTGCTCAAGCAACTGGACACCGTCCAGTGGCATCCACAAGCTACGCACTATTAAGCAGCTGCCACCGAGTCATTTGTCTTGAGGAAAAGAAAACCTGCCCCAAAAAGTTGAGAGCTGTTTTATTGTGTTTCGGTATCTCTGGTAAATAACGCAATCTTTCGATGTCTGTGCAAATTTGTTGTTTGTTTATTTATGCCTTATGTAGGCCAGCATAAATATTAATATTGTTTTGTAAGCCTGGTGCAGCAATGTCATAAATTGCAATAAAACATCATCATAACTTTAAGTGCCAATAAAATCGATTTCATGAGCTAGTCTCAGTTAACGCCCAATCATAACATGAAAGTGTAAAAGCGGGCTCAGCCCTTTTGAATGCATAGTTCGTCTAGAGCTGGTTAAGTGTGGATACTTAAACTGAAATTTATTGTAAGCTGTAAACAGTCTATATAGAAATTTTGATGAGCTTAACTTATGCATACATGAGATTCATATTTTTATTGCATAAATAAACAATAATTGCCTACACAATAATAAAAAGCATGAAACAATAGATTCGGAGATAAAACAATAGGAGTATAAATAAATATAAACATAAACTATAATTGATATTTTTATGCCTGTGCTAATAAAAATTGTTAATAATAAAACTATAAATGAAGGCAAAAAAAAAGAAATAAATAAAAATTTTTTGACAAACATTTTTAATAATAAAACCTTAGTATGTAAATATTGCGACAATAATGTTCAATCTTTTACTATAATAAGAAATGTATTTTGCAATTTAATTTATTTATATTTTCCATTCAGTAAAGTTTGTTATTATTTAAGTTCAGTGCATACTTAAATAAATATCTAAATTTTAATTGAAAAAACAAATTAGATAATATCTGACGTACTTTTGATCTATCGAAACAGTTGATAACAATCGCGTTTAAGTCTAATTCTTTATTGAATTTATTTATTCCAAATTTATATTTTTATTAATATACTTTACATAAGATCCAAAGTAAACTTCAACTTTATTCATAGTAAATAAAATGAAAATCTTAATTTTTCTTACAAACATTTCCTTTACCACAACTCGAAATTGTCCCACTCAAATTTTGTTGTTGTTGACTTCAGTTAGGGTATGCCAACGTCTTCATATATTGACATTGCCGAAAATGCCCACCGCATGCGGTTAGTCAATAAATTTGTTACAGTATTTTATGAGCTTTTAACTGCCTTTGTGGCTACCATGTTTTGTCGTGGCAGCAAAGCGCAGTCTCATAAAATGCCATGTAATTGTGGTGCGTGTGTGCGTCTGTGTCTATGGCAAGCCCAGGCGACATTTGCATAATTTCACACTAAAAATCAAAGCTGCATTGAGATGAGGCACCCTTTCCAAGTGGGCTAGTCAAGAGATTTCCAATCTTGATTTGGGATTTTTCGTTTGAATTGGGCCTAAGACGATTGTCGTGTTTTGACAATTCAGCGATCTTTTGATTGGCATGTGTGTCTCTGTGTGTGTGTGTGTCTGTGAATTGGGCAATCGCTTTATCGATATTGTATCCATTCAGACGATAATCGCAGCTTGTTACAATTCATTTAAGGTCCATTTGCATATTTATATGCATTTAATTGAGTTTTGGCTTCGTTTTGCTATGGCCACAAATATCGGCGATACGCAGATCATTTTGCCACTCCACGATATCTATTGTCTTTATGCTAAGCAGGAGCTGTGAACGAGCTGGGCTCTTTGTTAATTGGCCAGAGGTCAAGTTGTGGCCGATGTTATTAGCCCGATAACGAGCTGAAGTTCAAGTTGAACCATGTCACATTTGACAGGTTTTCTGATCAAATTGAATATGAATGAATATATGATAGCAGCGGATTAGATAACGACCTAAACACATTTGCTCAATCATTATGATAGGCTCAATGAAAATCCGTTCCCAAAAACCTGATGTGTATACCTATACCTGTGGGGTATATCCACACAGCATTTCATAATAAAACTAAAAAAATAATACGAAATTACCAATGGGCGCGTATTACAATAAATTTACAAACAGAGAAAAGCAACCACACACACAAAAAGTTGTTTAGTTGTTGTTTTCGATTAAATTTTTTTTTTTATTTTTCTTTCAAGTTTTAAGTTTTTGCGGGCGCATTCGCGTAATGTTCGCCCATTGTTTGACGGCAGTTGGTTGATCGAGAAGAGGAGAGCGAGGATGAAGATGAGCGCAAATCTTTTCTTTCTCGTTTTTTGCTGTTTGCATCTAATGGCATGTTGAGGTAAAAATGCAATGTCAATGGCACTCGGCACTAGGCACTAGGCATTAGGCACTAGGCACATGGGCAATTCGGTTTCACTTTTATCGACGCCAGAGCATCTGGCTTTTAGGAAGATGAAGATGATCGAGCGACGGCGTCGGCGTCGGCGTCGTCGTCGTCATTTGCCCAACTCAAGTGGCAATTGTTGTTGGTTTTGCTAGTTTGTGGCTGCTGCGTTTTCGTCTAGCGATTGCCGCTTTGTTTTGCTTATATTGTTGCATTATTTTTTTGTATTATGTAAAATCGTTTACATTGTATGCGCGGAGTCGTGTGCCACTTGGTGAGGGGGAATTGCTGCTCGGACTGCTGTTGACCTTTCAGCACAATAATAATAACAATAATGGCGCGTCAAACCATCAAAACGTTTAACGTAATATGGAAAGGGTCATACAAAAACAAAAGACTTAGGCAACGAACTTGCCACTAAATCCCCCACAAAAAGAAACTTTGTATTGCGTGCTCACAATTATGCACAGCACACTTAATTCAGATTTATTTACGCGCTCTGTCAAATACCTTTCAACAATTGAGCTC